GAATGCGTTTTATCAGATCACCCTTGTAGGAATGCATTTGATTTTCAACGCATTAATCATAGAATGATCTGATCAAACGCATTTATTTTCTGTAAAAAGCAGCCGTAAGATGGATTTATGATTCTTGAACCTACGAATCGAAAGGCGAAGTTGCGACCTGCCAAAGTCTATACTCCAACGGGTTTTTAAGTCACTTAAACTTAAGCAAACTTTTTTTCCCTTCTAATAGCGCGAAGTCATGATCATGCATTAAGGTCACTTAGTCGCTACCTAAAGCCCACCACTCACTAAGCAGTGAAAAGGGTGCGCCCGTCTTGAGATGGCCTTATGGCGACCAACTGAACGCGATCTCAACATGTTCTCGAGATGATCTCAACTGGACTGCTCAGTTACAAATCTCAACAAACCGTACACCTCGCATGTGTGTATGTAATTCGCTTTCTTTAAAAGAAAGAAGCCTATTTTTTTCTCTTTAATTACATGTACGTAACAGCACAGAGAGAGCAAACACTGGGATTTTTAATTCGTAGCCTATTTATTAAGGAGTTTTCTAGATTACCGCTAACAGGTGTTATCAAAAAGATAAATTACAGATACAATCAATTGTGCAAAAACCTGGAGAGTCTATGTTCGATTGTCCGTGGCGCAACTTATCGTTCAGACGAACTTTTTTTTACCCCATTGTAATTAAATCAAGCATTGCGACATGTGTCTGTGTGCGTGTGAGTGTGTGCATGTGTGAGTGTGTGTGCGTGTGTTTGTCAGACCTGTGTCTGTCTGTCTGTCTGTCTGTCTGTCTGTCTGTCTGTCTGTCTGTCTGTCTGTCTGTCTGTCTGTCTGTCTGTTTGTTTGTCTGTTTCTCTCTTTCTCTCTCTCTCTCATTCTGTCTGTTTGTCTGTCTGTCTGTCTGTCTCTCTCCCTCAGTCTGTCTCTCGCTCTCTCTCCCCCCCCCCCTCTCTCTCTCTCTCTCTCTCTCTCTGTCTTTCTCTCTCTCTCTCTCTCTCTCTCTCTCTCTCTCTCTCTCTCTCTCTGTCTGTCTGTCTCCACCCTCCACCCCACCCCCACCCCGCGCCAACCATTCAATAACACCCATACAATCAGAAACATCAAGCAGTGTGATATGTATGTATGCAGGGGCGAAGGCTGACTTGTTTGACAGGGTAATCAAAGTGAAACGGGATCAAAATCAGATATGGCCTGTAGATATCACACAAGAATCTTACTCGAGGCGGCGACTCTGAGTTGTGAATGAAAACAAATCCAGAATTCATATTGTATGTTCAACCGCCAAATTAATCGGGAAAGTATCTTTTTAAATATCAGTTCCAACTAAAATTAAATTTAACTTTAGATGTGAATACATAAACACAAAGCAAAGAAACAAAGATGTCAGTACTAGATCTATATGCTATAGATCTACCAGTGAGTCTAACTCTTTGGTAGAACATGACAGTTATCATTTTTAAATTTCACATTTGGCTGTTTTTGTTAGCCTTTCGCGGCCAGGAGCTGGTGTCATAATCGAGGTCACGATCTGATTATAGGACGGTGAAAAGTCGATGAAAAAAAACAAGTACATGGAACAGTCAAGAGATTATTAGGAGTTAGTTCCCCTTACATTTGTGAGGTAGACTCGACCAGTGTTAGTTAGCTTACTTAATCAGAGCTTGCGATTGATTATAACTGTGGCCCCAAAGGGGTGAACAGGGTATATGTGGCAATGAAAAAGCTTTGACTGCTATGCACATGTTCCCTTCAATGCTATTGGTAGACTCTTCCAGCCTTACTTTAAGCTTACTTAATCAAAGTTTGCGACTGCTTATGGAGTGGCCCGAGAGGGGTGAGGAGGCTATTTCTGTGGCCGTGAAACCGTTTTGAATGTTAGGCATACTGTTCATTGTTGATTACGAACGTCTTTTTACATTTAATTTAAGAGGTTTACGTTTAAGAATGAATTTGACAGCGACAATGTTTCGAAATTAGGAAGGGAAGCAGTGATTATTTGATTATATAGACGCTTCGCCCCTGTATGTATGTATGTATGTATGTATGTACGTGTGTGTGTGTGTGTGTGTGTGTGTGTGTGTGTGTGTGTGTGTGTGTGTGAGAGAGAGAGAGAGAGAGAGAGTGTGTGTGTGTGTGTGAGTGTGTGTCTTTGTCAGACCACCGCCTCCGATTCGAAAACTGATATGGTCAGTGAATCAGTGAATCAGTGAATGAACAATACATTGTGTTGCGCAAGAACTATTGTTCGTATATTATATTATAATATTATCTATTCCTCCTTGAGTCAGAATATTGCGAAGGAGAAGGAGGAAAGAACCTTACCAGTACATGCATAAGCCTTGCGAACAACACACATAGGCTAAAGACTTACTGCACGGAAAGTTAGTTGGCGTTGGCCTTACGATTAGATTTCTAAAAATTAAATATCTTACCACACCGGACGTCCCTCCTACAAGCCACTCGTTTGACTTGCTTCAGACAGACGCCTGTGACTGTAGTGTGTCTCCCCGCGACACCCACCGGTACAGGTGGAAGAAAAAAAAGTAAAGTAGGCCCAGAGAGTAGGCCTATCTTGCCTCCTACGCGATATTTATATTTAGATTAAATAAGAACTTGGCTACATGCAAGCGAAAGATTTAATTAGGCCTAAGGACGACAATTCAAGGATGACGAGCCAAAAACCGCTTGGTTCACGCAATAATTGATTGGTAACTGTTGGAAACCGATATCGCCACAATGCAACTGATTTAGGAGGCGTGTTGCTTCGGCCTGCCTGTCCGGGGGGGGGGGGGGGGGGGGGGCGGGCCTGAGTGGGATACAGTATCCCAACAGACAAATCCGGGGATACTCAACAAAACAGACCACCTCACTGTAGAATCGAACTCACGCCCCCCCCCCTCCCCCCGATTCACGGCAGTGCTATTGACTGAAGTTGTCTTTAGGCCATTCCCAAAGGGGGAGGGAGGAGGGGGGTATTAACATGTTCTTACGCACAGTAGTATTGTAAATGGGCTGATTTATCAATGTCATGCTCAAACTGTGCCGGAACATTAAAGGGAGAACTGTTGCTTTTTTCTTTCCTCATCCTAACTATCGTCATTTTTCTCTACTTCTTTTGTATGTTTGTCACGCTCTTGTGAACTGCCGTTTCCGGGGTGCCTTGATATCGAAGCAGACTTTGTGCTGTTGAGGCTAGAGAAGTGAGCACTGAGCAGAGTAAGCCTGATTCACCGTTTGAACTTCTCTGTTGACACCCACCCCTTGGCGCTCATATGACCTTATGCAGTTGCAAGCGCTGTAAAATTTACTAAAACAACGAACGCATGTCTTCTGCAAGCAATGGCAATGACGCTTACACTACAGAGGTCGGTAATCCGAACTGAGAGGACCTTAATAGTCACCGTAAAAACTTTAGACCTACTAAGAAAAAAAAAGAGAAGGAGAGAGAGAGACAGAGAGAGAGAGAGAGAGAGAGAGAGAGAGAGAGAGAGAGAGAGAGGGAGAGAGAGAGAGAGAGAGGGGGGGGGGTTAAAAAGCACAGTCGACAGCAATAAAAGCAATAACAAACTGAATGCTAGATACATACATAGATCTACTCAATGTTATTCTGAAGCATGTCTAAGGTCATATGAATACGTAAGGATGGTTAAGATGGAAGAATTTTGCTGGATAATGCTAAAAATGACCTTCTATATCTTTCTTTGTTACATATCAAAAGCTTATATTAAATTGACGTTAACACCTATCCTTTATGATTTCTTTAAAAGGACAGCTGACTGGATAAAGGCAGACTAAAAATAAACAGCAGGGATCCAACAATTATCTACCTTAGCAGAGTACGTTGGAGTAGGCTAGCGCCAAGAGGGGAAAGTTTTCTGTCGTGCAATTTCCCTAAATCGAGGTCAAAATAAAGTAAAAATTGAACTAAAATGTTAACTTACCCTATTGTATTGCAGGAGGGCGTTTACAGAGCATCTCCAACTATAATATTGACGACTGAACTGAAATCCAACTCCTGTCCTCCAGACGGATCAGCCCCGCCCACTGGCAGATATTATTGTTCTGTGTCGCAGAAAAGCCCAGTACCGGCGATATCAGGAAATCCGGGTTGAAATGGAGCTGGAGGCTGGCTGGCAAGGAACCATCCCCCCATGCAATTAATTATTCCAGTGAATCGGTCGACTTCGTCGGACCTCCGACAAAATGAGGGCACTATCTAGATCTAGATAAACTAGATTTAGATTAGAACTCTGTCGGTTGGGTTGTCCGGGAGAAATATTTTAGTTCAGTTTGTTTTTGGTTGGGGAAAGAGGAGAATACTTGGATCATGTCCAGCTGCAGTTTTCATAACAACTTACATTCATGAGAAGAAAAAAACCAGTTTGACTGAGAATGTGCGTGCAACAGCTGGCTGGCAAGCAAAATACATGATAGTACACCTCTGTGATTGGCCCAAATATCGATGACGTATTTCTGCCATCTATTTTTGTCGTCTCCATTACCTTGTCTTAGGTACGCTGGAAAAATGTGTTGTTTTTTTCATAATTACTAGAGGTCTATTCTTACATTTTTCTCTGCTGATCATTTGGGGGTAGGCTATTTTATATAGCCACAGAGACCAAAATGATAATAAACGTTCAACTCTAAGATCTAGAATCTAGTTTGGATCTAGATCTACAAGTCAAAATTTAGTATAGTGGTGGACGAAAGGGAATTTCACCTATTTTTCGGGGAAACCCAAAGCGCACTAAATCTAAGTTGACAAAGCCTGCTGAGACCTCTCTAGATCTAGATCTAGAGAATCTAGGCTAGGCCTTGCAGAAATATCCCAGTATCATATTCACGAATTGTTGGCTTTCTCTTTAGAATAATAACATAAGCGGTTTAATATTCTTTTTTCGCGCGAAAATCGTTATATAATAAATACAAACGACTGGTGGTTTCGCCACCGCGCACCTTCACATAGGCCAAGGCACGAAAGAATGGCAATGAATGAATGAACGAACAAACGGACGGAGAAGGTGAAATGATTCAGTCTAGGCCTAGCCTTCTTCCAGTTGTAGCAGTATAAAAAGGTTAGATTCTGATTCAAGCAAGCAAGCGCTGTTTTTCGTTTGTCTTTTTTGCAAGTCAAATTTAGCCTAGCCTACGACTAACGTCGGGTTGAAGATCTAGATAGGTCTAGATTCTAGATCTACTGTTTATCACGATGGCAGGTGTAGAAGAAAGCGATGAAACTAACGTGTTCAGTTTCAAGGATGAGAAAATCGTTCCGGATCCATTCTTTGATTACCCACAGAACCTTCGTGAGGAGCGTGTGCCTTTGGTCATTGACAATGGTGAGCATCCATCATACACGACTGACAAGTCATGATGTTGACTACTGTTGAGTCTGTTGAGGCCTGTCTGTAGACTGTAGGCCCGGTACTAGAAATCTAGATCTAGATCTAGATCTAGATCTAGATATATAGATCTAGATATATAGATCTAGATCTAGATCTAGTCTAGATATATATATCTAGTCTAGATTATCTAGATCAACTTAAAAGAAAGTGGGTCCCGTCTGTTTAGAGTTTAGAACATCATCCACACACAGAGAGCCATGAGCAAGTTTCAAAAGTTGGTCCCGAAAGTGTGACAAAAAGTAAAAGATGAATTTTGAAATCTAACTAGATGTAGATCTAGATCTAGATGTAGATCTAGAAATCTAGATTCTAGATCTAGATCTAGATTCTACCTAACTGAACCAAAAACAATCTCATTTCATCAACAGTAATAAAAGCTGAAGTTTCATGTTACTGAATTTAAGATAAAAAGTCTGACCGTTTTTTTGTAGGCCGTCTTGAGTCCGAATAACATTTTTTCATATACGGACTCAAGTCCGAATAAAAAAATTTATTTCGGACTCGAGTCCGAATATGAAAAAATGTTATTCGGTCTCGGGTCCGGAAAAAAGGAAGTGTCTTCGTCCTATAGCCTATAGATCTAACGTTTTAAGTTTAGTGCTTCCAATTTTCCACCGTTTTTTAGTTTCTGCCACACCTTTTCTGCCGATCCGATGCCCGTCGCTTCATTGGTACGCCCCCCCCCCCCCATGTTTCCCACTTTCTTTGTTGTAGAAAAAGGTAAAATTGAAGATTAGCAGACCACCTGGCACCTGCATATATTATGAGCTGTGTAAAAAAAAAAAGACCTTCGTTCAAATACACAAGCCAGTGTCATCTCGATTGTTTACCAAGAAAAAGTTGTGTTGCTGTGTAGAGCTGAGCATACGGCAACTTTTGATTCCATAGACCAGCGCACAATTCATTACGTAGATCTACGTCAAGACTAGCTTATATTATTGTACGTAATAATGATCAGTTGCCGAGGGAAAAAAGACTGACGTGTATACGATTCAACGCCCGGATGATCAGTTGAGTGCCCCCTCCCCGACACGCACACAGCCACACGTGTGCAGGCCGCCCATCCGACCCCGACACACGCTAACGAGCCATCTTTAATTGTTTCTGATGACCTTTTGACAAATAAACATTTATTAGAAGCGCTATAACTTTTCAGGCCGGCCTCAAGTTCATCATAAAAGATAAAAACTCGGCTCCTGCACTAAACGCCATTAAACCGAAGTGATCCCAGTCTCTACCCAGCCTGAGGCGAGTTACGAGTGAGGCAGGACAGGAAGCCGGAGTCACTAGTCACAGGAAGTCGGAAGTGATGTCATGCAGGACAAGAATCAGAGTCCGAATAACATTTTTTCATTCGAACTCGAGTCCCAATAGTCACCTCGTTTTTTGTAACCTTCGATTTTCTGGCTTACTTCAGTTATAATTGAATGCGAAGTATACAGACCCGGTAACCGGGAACAATGTCACGAAGTATACAGACTTAGTAGGGGAACTCTTTTGAGATATCGGAAAATTTCAGCGCCCAGACCCGGTAGTGTGTGTGTGTGAGAGAGAGAGAGAGAGAGAGAGCAGGGGGAAGTGTGCTAGCAAAACATGACATGCCCCAGTTGACAGGAGGGAACGAGAGAAAGATAGAGTGGGAAATAGGTGGGAAGAAAGAAAGACAGAGACAAACAAAGAAAAAGAGAATGCAAGCGATACACAGAGACAGAGGAGACAGAGAGAGAGAGAGAGGATGACTGCTCGATTGAAATTATGACATTGTTCTTTTCTTCAAATTGTGATTCCTCCAACTCCAAAAACGGAGGAAAAACGATCGTTCATCGAAAAACATCCGCAATCTTCATTTAGATCTAGATAGGCTAACCTCGAAACTAGATCAATGTTATGTTTGTCTGTCTAGATCTAGTCCTAGGACATAGATCTAGAAGAACCTAGGTAATCTACCCTGAGCCAAGAGGGCGCTGAAACTTTCCGAAATCACAAAAAGAGTTCCTCTGCCAGGTCTGTATACTTTGTGACTTTGTTCCCGGTTACCAGGTCTGTATACACTCCCTATTGAATGGACCTGATGATGACACAATAAAGTGTACTACTGTAATTTGCAAGTTTCTATAGGATTTGTCTAAAATTGATCAGGATGATAATAGAAATGGGCAAATCAAGGCAAAAAACACCAAAATAGACCAACAGTACCAAAATTATCTGCCAGATTACCACATGGATTGCTGTCATACATCATGTCCGTAATGTTTGACATGTCAATTTCTCTTTAATTTGTTAACTTTAGAATGAAGTCTCTGAAGAACTCTCTTGAACCCATATTTATGAAGTCACTTGATTGTCTTATTCAGAGACATAATTTTGAGCAAACAAAAAAGATGCCATAGAGGTTAGTGAGCATTCAAGTACGAGGGCTGTCCCACGGAAAACCGGAATTTGGCTGTAATTTGAAAACTATTCAATATTTTCACATTCTGTAAACGCACACTTGTAAAACAATCATTTAGAAATTTCCCGATTGAGCACCATGAGCATCGCACAAACCAAACGAGCACAGCAGTTCTCAAAAGGTGGCTACCCCCTTGGAAAATTGGTCAAGGGTAGAAGTGAGGTCTGTCATTCGGTTTCTGACCGCAAAAGGTCTCAAACCTCTAGAAATACACACTGAAATAAAGTCAGTTTATGGGGAGAAAGTAATGGCAAAATCACAGGTATGAGTGATGTAGTAAGTTCAAAGCCGGGCACTCCGATATCAATGACAAAGTTTACCCAGGGTCTTGTTTTTCTACCAAGACTGAGGACAACAAGAGTCGCGTTAACGAACTTATTCAAACAGAAAGGCGCCTAAAAATTCGCGAAATTTGCAAGTCGCTAAACATTTCAAAGTCGACTGTCTATAGGATAGAGTTTGATGAGCTGCACTATTGAAAGGTCTCTGCTTGATGGGTTGGGGCCGAAAAAGACCAGCGGGGTCATTTTGCAGCATGGCAACACAACGTCACACACCGCAAACGTCACGAAAGACTGGTTCCAAAGGTTTGGCTAGGAAGTCCTACTACACCCCCCTCACAGTCCTGACTTGGCCCTTTCAGATTATGACCTTTTTGAACCAATGAAACGCCATATTTCTGGACAGCGATTCACCGACGACGAAGACCTCATGGAAGCAGTGAACGATTTGTTGAAATCCCTTGACGAAAGATTCTTCAGGGAGGGTATCTTCTCCCAGATCCAGCGATGGGAAAAATGTGTCCAGCGGGATGGTGATTACGTTGAAAAATAAAGCACATGTTGAGGTATGATGTGTTACAGTTTTATTATAATAGGACAAAGATTTTTGCTTTTACGGACCTTTTCCAGTTTTCCGTGGGACAGCCCTCGTATCAATGGACATGACTTATGAAGTGATGACAAGAAGAAACATGTCATGCATCATGTCCATTCCCTTCATCCACTGAGCATTTCGTAAAGCATACCCAGGCCCCAAAATAGGTTTTACAAGTATACTTTACAGTTTAAATATATACAAATATGATTGGCATAAAAAATCTGATCAACAAGAAATAATTTATAGCAATAGTGATAAATTTGATGTGGACATGTTGATGACATTAATATTAAACTTTCTGTATCATGTCCATCAGTTTTGTGTCAATTTTTGCATTTTTGCTCCTTTGAAGGCTTAAAATTCATTCAGATGTGTCTCTGTTATTATTATCTTCTACGCAGTAATAACTTAAATTTTGCAATATTTTACAACAAAAAGCGAATGAGAATGTAATGGACATGATGACATCAATTTTTTCTGTCGTTACTCATGTCCATGCATGACCAATCTGTAAATTTAAGATTTATGTGTGAATCATCAAACACTATTATATACAACTGGGTCTTACACAGAAGCTAAACCATGCTTTATTAGATTTAACGAGACCATAGCTTGTTTAGCCACGGGACGTGACATTTTAATAGATCTGAAACTGACATGATGCTAAGGAAAGTGATGACAAAAAACTTTAGTTCAGGCACTTTTATTTCCTCCACGGTCCTCCATCAGCAGCAATGTGCGCACAGTCTCACTCGGGGACATTGATATGGAACTAGTTGATTCATTAAAAAGTGTGGTAGCAAAGCCGAGAAACAAAATACAGGCTCATGAATGGACATGATGAAATGACAGAAATTGCGAGGAGAAAGGTTTTTTTGTTTATAACATCCCCATATGAGTCAAAACAACTCAACAAGCGTGTTAAATTTTATAACCGCTTTTGGCTAGAAGTAATGCCCATTTTATTATATCTTTAAAAGCCTTTTATTCTTTTTTCATTATTAAGTAGGCTTAAAATAGAACAGGAATATGACGAGAAACATCATGTCCATTCACCAGCGTTGTCACCCAGTTAGGGGCTTTCTTCTGCCCAACAGTTAATCGCCAGAATGCATGCTTTTCTTAAATACACACAACCTTCTACAACAGAAACAGCATGATATGTTAAGCATTTTCCTTTCCTACTGCATAAAGTTTCACTTCATTAAAATTACCATCTATATAATGTCACGTTTTGACCGGTCAAATTTTTGGTATTTTCCACATATATACATTTTGTAATTTCACTAAATTTAGCCATTGGAACAAGAAATGCTTTCTCATGCTATATCTTCATTCAAAGTATTTGATGATACACAGAAATTTGCACATCATTGTAGATATTCCATGCTTTGACGATGAGATGAAAATATGCACTACTTAAACAACCAACTTTTGAGACTTGGCTAGATCTAGGCATCATGGATATTTGATACGATTTCAATTTCAATAGATCTTTCCACCCCCTGAATTTGACTGACAATAATTTGATGTTTTGCAATTAGGTTTGATATTAATTTATGGTCATTTCTCCCTATCGGCATGCACATCAAAAAGTAATCGTTTAGAACAGTAATCGTCAGTGGGGTCAAAACTACTAGGGTGACTGGTCATTTCATCACATGGTCATCTAGTCACACCCCAATTATGCGCATTTCCCGGATAGCCTAGCTTACGCCCTATATTATATAGAGCCTGTGCGCTTCCAGGGCTTAAAAGGTAAAGAAACAAACCTGTTTGATGTTAAAAAAGATTTTTAAAAGTGAAAAGTTTAAAATACCAGTAGAAGGCTGACTAACTGGAGGGGTGCCACAGCTTGTTGTGCTTCCATTGTAGCCTCTGCCTCCAGCTCCTGAAGTGTGCACACATGAAATTACTTTATTTTAAAGAACTGTTCCTGTAAAAAAGTTTTCAAAAGTTATAAATGCTGGCTTCAAACTACAAAGGCAGCAGCTTGCTGTGATGAAATGACTTCCCTCATCTCTAGAAAATTGTTATACTATCCCTTGAAGCGCAGGATTTCCCCGGAAGTAACCCGCCCCTAATGCATTTTCCATAATTATTTAAATATACACGAATGCTGAAATTGAAAAGAGTCCGGGCCTTTTTTATGCTCTTTATTATAGGGCCTGCACGGTGTCCAATCGACCTAGGCCGGCCTTGTATCTAGGGCTTGCGCGCTTCCCGGATATCCCAGTTTACGCCCTATAAAATATTTTATATAGGGCTTTTGCGCTTCCAGGGCTTAAAAAGTTTAAAAAACTGAAAATTTAATGCTGGGAGCGTCAAGCGGTAATAATCTTGTTCCCCATCGGACGCTGGGAACGTCGCAATACTAGTCACCACTGTTTCGTTTTATTTAGTGCTAATTTTTGCTTGTTTTTCCGAACCGAATATTTTAGTAATGACTAAGCCTTTGTTTCAGCGATTTAGAAGTTGGAGGCAAGCTTTTGTGGTTATAATGAGACATAGTGCACTAGGTTTAGGTGACTATAGAAAAAAATCTGGGAAACGGGCATGTCTCCCTAAAGTAAGAAAAAAATCTTTGGGGTTACAGGGGGGCATCCCCCCTGTTTTAGCTATAAATAATTTGATGTTTTGCTGTTAGGTTTGAAATTTTCTTGAAAATAATTGATATGCGACAGTAGCTGTATGTGTGATCTGCAACAAATAATACTGCAGTTTGACCCTCAAAGCAGTGCATCTGTGTGCGGCTGTGAAAGTAACAAAATTTACCTATATCACGAAATAAAATATAATGATATTATTACTAGTTTTTAGAGGTGGGCGATTCCTGGGTTTTTTCGGTAACCGTAGATTCCCGAATCTTAAAGGCTAGGAATCGTAGGAATTGGCGCCGAACCCAATTACTTTCTTTATAGCCAGTGATTGTGATTTCTTCCAGTGGCTCTATGATTTCTTCCAGTGGTTTCGACCCGTACCCAGTATTATGATTGTATATGCAGCGACTAGCAGTTAGCCCGACCCCTGCAATGACCTCCGGCGAGTAGCAATTAGTCCGACCCTTGCCATTACTCCCAGCTAGTCCGACCCTTGCAATAACTCCCAGCTAGTCCGATACCTGCAATTATTTCCGGCGAGTAGCAATTACTCTGCCCCCAGCAATTATTTCCGCAGAGTCGCGATACCTATGACTACTTCCGACGAGTAGCAATTACTCCGACCCCAGCAATTATTTCCGCTGAGTCGCGATACCCATGACTACTTCTGGCGAGTAACGAGTTGGCCGACCCCAGCAATTACATCCGGCGAGTAACGATTAGTCCGATCCCTTTGATTACTTGGGGTGGGAGGGCGCTACCCCAGGCACTACCCCACCCAATCTCTACAGTATGAAGTCAGAGACCAACACTGACCTACACCGAGAAATGAGAGTCTATAATATAGAGCCTCGTGGGCAGATGTTACAGTTTTAGATTTTGAATTGAAAGAAAATGGAATATTATTATAATTTTAAAACAACAACAGATGAATGAGAAAAAGGCGAAAGCAACGAATGAGTTTTGACACTGTATACTAGATCGATATAATCTTTGACAAGGACTTTGCATCCCGACTACTCTTTCTTTCGTAAGTCTTCAAGATTCAGGATAACCTCGATTTCAGAACATAGCAAAGCACCAACATTAAAAAAACCAAAACATTCTTTGAAGAAAAAATAAGATAAAAATAGAGTAATTGAGAGTCGTTAGTGTACGAAAAATGGATCGGTTCTTTTTCTCAGAAGCAATAATCGCAGGAATCGGTTCTGGAATCGATTCTTGGCCCACCGCTACTAGTTATTGGTTTTATTTTTCACAGGAACGTATCAGTGTCGAGCAGGCTGGGCCACACAGGAGTCACCAAGTTTGGTATTCAAGAACATAATGGCAAAGCAGAAGGGCAAGAAAACTCAAAATGTATGTTTCTTATTAATTTTTTTTTCTTCTAAATTCAATAAATTTGCTGTACAGTCATACTCTGTTTCTAAAATTTGTTTTACAATATTTAAAAAAAGAATTTTAAAGGTGTGTTTCGTATAGGCTATTGTGTGTGTAGAGGATTGTAAGAAGGTGAACGAACGTTATTATTTTTTACAACACTGTGAAAACATTCCTAGAAATGTTTGTCTCTCTTCCTTGTGCAGATTTGTTTGTGATATGTTGAATTTATGCTCCCTGCAATATAATTTTTGTTGTCTTTGCTTTCCGTGGAGTTACGTCCATCTTTAGTGTAATGGATTGGATATAATATTATAACGTTTTCTTTCAACATTTTATTTCAAGAGAGTCTTAAATTACCGGGGTTGTGGAAAAAATGAGACAGTCAAGCCTGTTGTAACAGCCACATGTTCAAGACAGTACTCTGTGTTACCGATTGAAAGAATTATTATGATGAGACGGTCCAAGACACCCACCTGTCTCAGACAACCACTTTTCTCAGGCTCCATAGTCTGAGTGACTGTCTTGAACTGTTTGAAATGTATCGACTGTCACGTCTACTGTGGACACAACGATGTATCGTTTTCAATCAGAAATATTGAAGTTTGGTTGTTATCACAAATATAAGCATACATCATCATTGCCTTTTTCACCCTGTATCAGGATATATAGGCCACGGACAAACACTTTCCACCTTTCCCTATCCTGGGCTAGTCGCTTAATGTCACTCCATGTCTTCCCACTTTTCTGTACATCCATTTCTGTGACTCTTCTCCAGGTTCCACGTGGTCTTCACCTTGATCACCCTGTGAATTCTAATCTAACACTTTCCTTGGTATGCAGCTGCTTGACTTCCAGAAGAAAGTGTGTCCAATCCATCGCCAACGCCTTTTTCCCCACCTCATCTCTGAATGGGCTCTGTCTCGTTCTTCTTAATACTTCGTCGTTGGTGATCCTGTCTGTCCATCTGATCCTCAGTAGCTTCTATAGACACTTGTTCAAGAACACCTGGATATAAGCATACGGTATAGCCAAACTGAATAGACCAAAGACTAAGATGTTTACTGTGTTAACAGGAAATCGAAACGCAGATCGGAAATGACATCACAAATGTGGAAGTGGTCAAGTGGATCCTTCGATCGCAGTTTGATCGGAACATAGTCACACTCTTTGACATCCAGGTGAGTGGGAGAGTTGAAGTTTGGTGTCTTAAGTCTTGTTTAATCCTTGGTGAAGTGCTTGTTATTGGTTATTTTGGCACCTTTAGATACATTGCTTACAACATTAGAACATTTTCCTGTACTAGAAAAATATCATAAAAATTGTGTTTTATGAAACTCATAGTTATAATTTTACAGTCTCTGAACTTATAATTTATTGCATCACTGTCATTGCACTATTGTCAAAATAATTATTTTCAAGTCTTTTTTTTTGTTTTTGTTTTTTGTTAGTATGCTAAAAAATGCCAATTACTAATTTTATATCCTCGGTATAGAAAGATTTAATTCCCCCCCCCATCTCCTTTTGTATTCAAAATTAGTGAGTTCAGTTCCTGCGGATAGTCCGATAGATTATGTATGCCTCTTTCTGCTGAGAAGCTGTATTCCACTTTGCCCAGATTATCCCTAAAAGGCAAGGTCAAATTGACCCTGGTCCTAACCTAATTGATCTAAATCTTCTTTTTTATGTTTGTTACTCTCTTGTAACTAATCTTTTGACGCTCCTATGACCTTATGCAGTTGCAAGCACCGTTAAACCTCTACTAAAACTAGTGAGTTTATTTCATTTTTTTTTAAAAATCAGTATATTTTGTCCCCAGGAGCAAGTCTTTGATCACATTTTCTCTCACATGGGAATCAACACCGAAGGCTGTGTGGACCATCCTGTTGTTTTGACGGAGGCCGCGTGCAATCCCACCTATACCAGGCAGTGTGAGTGATATGCTCATCTCCTAACACATTCTGCGTCTATGGTATAACAGTAATACTAATAGTATAACGACAAGGTTGAATCAGGTCTGGTCAATTATTGGGCGTGTGGAGTTATTGGGATCACTTAAGAGCTTATTTGTTTGCCTTGCTTTAAATGAAAACAATACCCATCTATCTTGAACAGAAGTTGAGATATTTGCGGTTGAAGTTGGTAGGGGTCGCCTGGTTTCAGTGGTAACATTAGCGAGAAAATGGCCGCCAGAGTTTGGTAACTTCACTTGCTTGAAAATTGAAAAATTACATACTTTGTGCCTTTAATCAATGTTTTTGAGTAAAATTCACATGGAAATGTGTTTTTATACGGACGTGAAAGGTGTTGAGCTAAAAAACAAAAATTCGACAAAATTACCAATTTTTGGCAGAAGAATGCCTGTTTCTTTGATTTCATTATTTTGACAAGCGCCTGATTTTACCACCAGGCTTCACGTATTATACTTGGTGCGTCTATGGCGTAACAGTAATATTCTTTGCCGTTGCGTGCAAAAGATGAAAGTTTGAGTTTGATTCACATGTGGCGTGGGAAATTTTTTAAAAATCAAATATCTTCATTTCTGTGATCCGACACAGATTTTACCATTAGACAAATTTTAGCGGAATGTCTTGACTTCGGAGAGACCCGAAGGAAATATTTTAGATGCAAAAATTTGCAAGATCTGTTTTCCGTCACTAATGTCAACAGAATTCTGTATTTTATAAAGGCCTGGCCTTTATGGGAACTTGTGAATGGGATTGTTAAAAT